CTTTGTAGATTCAACCTTGAGTGTAGTTATTAGACATTACATTTTCTTTTAAAATTAATATTTTTATTTATAATTTTAATTGAAAACAATGAATAAACATAGTATGACATATTTGATTAATATATTTTTAAAATTGTTAAAAAAATTTTCTCTGGCAATTTTACATATTGGTACATTTTAGATATTGAGACAGCTTAGAGCCTCCTATAAAAGATTGACTTTGCTGTAAGAATGTTATGTTCCTGAGGTGTAGTAAGGACAAAATGTGCAATTTTTTTTATTCTTCAATTATTTTTGTGAACTTTTATAGTATAATATATTATATTTGCAAAATAAAAGCTACTCAGAACATGTTTAAAAAGCAGAAATTTTATGCATATTTATAATTTTTTACTTTGATGATGACTTTGATAGTTAGTTTTTGTGGGCTCTGCACAAATTATCCAGGATTCCAGGATTTGGCCATACAGCCCATACTGTTCTGCATTCATATTCACATTGGTTGCATCATTAGCAGTAGATTTTTGTGGTCAAAGAAGAAAATCAACATTAGTTCCTGTAGAGATAATTACCTTGATTTTCTTCTTTGGAGCAACATCAGGTTCTTCCAATGTATAGTTGCCAACTTGCTAACTGGTTTATGGGGATGATACCCTGTTACATCTTTGCCTACTATTTTCATTAAAAATGAATCACCTTGTTTCTACTGCATCAAATATTCCAGTGGCATTGCCATGTGATTAGCTTTCTGTTCTGGCAACAAGTTGTAAGAAACCTACTGGCTGCAGATTTTTTGGTATTTCAGGCTATGCAAAATGGAGTGAGTAGTTCTGACACTGACATCCATGACATTTGCTATTGCTTGTACAGTTGTATGTCAATTTCCATGAATTAGTGTGTCTACTCATTGAACATTCTTAGTTTATGAGTCTAGGGTCCTGAATCAATCTGTATCTGATGTGTTCTGATATCCATCAAGAAATTTCTGACACTAGTTGTTTACTGTTATCTGTGACACATGGGGTGCCATACAGAACTTTCTGTGCATAAATTTCCATTGGAGAAACTTCTTCTGCATTGAAAACTGAATGATTGCTTGTTGGTCTTGTTTGAATGCATTTTGACTAACTTCTGAATAGTTCTGACAAACAGGCTCTTCTTTACATGCTTACATAGTATTTGATTTGCTGGGTAAATTTGTTTTGAACATGCCAAAAATAATATCACATTTTAATGATTCAAATGCAATTAAGGAATTTTTATGCTAAATACAATTTTCAATGGCTTTCAGTCTAATGCTAATTGTCATTTTATCATCTGTAATGGTAGCCATGACTGTTTCATGTAGTTTGACACATCATGAAACACATTCATAAGGAAAAATTTAAATTGTAATTGTTATTTTCTATAATTTAACAGTATCAATAGCTGTCCAAAGAATTGTTCAGGTCATGGACCGTGCGTAGATGGTATTTGTACCTGTTCAGCAGGTTGGACTGGAGAAGCTTGTGACATATCCATATGCTCTAATGGTTGTGAACATGGCTATTGCGAAAAAGAACAGCATATTTGTATATGCAATCCTGGTTATACAGGTATTTATTTTATACATTTGATAACACTCGTTTTTATTTTAAATTATAAATACTATACTCAATTAATAATTTCAAATAAATTTTCCTAATAAATTCCTGAATATAATTATTTTTGTAAAAAATTATACACCATCAAAAACTTAGTGAATATTTAAAATAAATTTAATTAAACATGTCTAACTATTAATAACATTAAATATTTTCGATTTAAAGTAAATAAATGAATAAAATAAAGACAAAAATATTTAAAATCAAATTAACTCTGACCTTTCTTAAGATATAATTAAAATATGAAAAATTAAGACAAATTATTAAAATAGAAATCTCGGTTTTGTCATCTAATATCTTTTCCAGCTTTAAATTTAATTATTCTTTATATAATAACCCAATTCAATTAGCATTGCCAAATGATCTATTGGATTAGTTATTGGGCTATATTTATTGGAGTTGCAGGTTTGAGTCCTATTCCAGGTTGATGCTATTCTAAATTTAAATTCAAACTTAATTTATTTCTAATTATTAAATTTATCATGAGATACTGGCTTAACTGCCTTTCTCTAGCGAAATTATTTTATTTCTAATTATTAAATTAGCTTTAATATAGTCTGATAAAAAAAATTGAGCAGAATGACAATTGTTCTTTATTACTCTGTTTAATATTGGTTTAATTTGTTTAAATATGATAACTAAATAAACAGTAATGTTTTCCTAAACATTAATAATCATTAAAATTTGATAAATACAAATATAAAATGTATGAAATGATGTTCAAGCTGGTATACTGGGAACAATGTTAAACCATATAAAATGAGTCTGTTATCAATGAATAGAGAAGTGTTTAGAATTGTTCCTAGTAATATTTTAAAATTAAATAATCTCATAAATTACACTGCCACTTATATTATTAATAAGGACAGTATCATCTCATCCAACTGTTAGAAGAGATGATTATACTGTACCTATTGTTTGTTAATTTCAAATTTTGAGAATGGGAATAAATTTTTTTAAGTTTTGTTTTTTATATATTGTTTTATATATTATATTAAATTTAAAAAATTTTTTAAAAAATGAGAAAAACTGGTTAAAGTGAACTCCAATAAAGCAGATTTTTGTTAATGTTACATTTATATATAGATAAAAAAAATTACATACTGTAATGCTTTTATCTGTATATAAATGTGACATAAAGACAAGATAGGTAACAGAGCTATTCTATGCAGCGTCCTATAGGTTTAATGCTCAATGCACAGTTTTAATAGTTATTTGCTCAATGATCATGATCACATTTATATAATAGTAGGTATTTGTATAAAAAAAGAACTTCTAAGTTGTGCCTTTTCGTCATTTTCAAACTTTGGAGTTATTCTAAACTTTTTGCTGTTATTATTATTTAATAAAACATTTAACACCTTGTAACGCTGAGAATATTTTTTTTTTTTTTAAGTTTTAAATTTTTGCTGGATGATAAAATTTTTTTTTAAAAATTAAGACATAGTTGCTTCCAAAATTTCGCTGAGAATATTTATTAAATCACAAACGCTTTCAGCCTAATGGAATAGGCCATCATCAGATGAAGGCTATCGAACAAATTTGAAAATTGTGTTAAAATGGAACTTTCGAACATTACAAATTCAAATTAAAACGTAAACTAAATTAGCCAATCAATATACAAACTAACTATAATAAATAGATTGAAGCCATATTAATATAAATAATAAAATAAGGCAATATAAAAAACAAAAACAAAAATAAACCTAAAAGATTAAATGCACAAAGGGATTAAATTCATAAAAATATACATCAAAAAGCATCACATTATAAAGGGCAGATAGGAACTAAGAATTTGTGTGNTAATATATTAGTGCAGAAATCTGATTATTTGTCTTAATATGTCTTCTGCCCAAAATAAAGTTTCTTGATTTCTAGGTGTTAACAATTTCATATCATACAACTTGGTTTGTAATTTTGCACTGAGGCTGAAATGGCCAAGTTGTAGTTGTATTTTTGATACTTTGTACTTCTTTCATGATTTGTAATAAATTTGTTTTAGTTTCTTATTATTGAACTAATATGCACTAAAGTTTTGATTCCTTATTTAAGTTTTCTGTACTTTTTCACCAGCCCTTATTTAACTGAAAAGGAAGATCTTAAACAACTTCAATAATCTGTATCTTATGCTGTGCTACAAGCAAAGATTGTGGGAATGGGAGAGATACACAGGTTTTTATCTTGTACAATTTGTACTTAATTTTGTCATATAAATAATTAAATTTTGAAACTGAATAACTGTTGCTGTTGCTGTTGCTGTTGCTTTTGGAGTTCTTAGTGATTATGGATACTGACAGGGGAATGGATTACTTGTCTCCTAGTCAGAGTGGATGAGCAGTTGGGTGAGTATGTAGGAGTGTGGGCACTGAAACAAGTCTCCTTCAAAAGATTAATCCATTTACTATAAACATTCAAAAGGAGCATACAATAATTTTTTAAAATCACTTCTAAATATCTCAAGTTTGAATATATGTAATTTCCCTTGATGTGTTTCTTGGCAAGGTGGATGCCCTGGGGTGTGTTGATCTCAAATGTAGAGCTTATATGGAGTTAATTAAGTGAGCTGGTGAAAGTCTTAGATGGTCTCAGTTGAGAAGACAAAGCAGAAATACAGACACAAAATGAAAAATTAGAACTTGCACTGACTTTAAGCAGTTATGGAAGAAGGTCAGATGGGAGAGAATGTAGGTGAACAGTGCCCAGTGTTCTTGATTCTGCAGTTTATATAGGATTTAGCAGATTAATAGGGTTCTGATTGGTTTAGCTCTTCCTTCTTTGCTTCCCAATTGGTCATCCATCACTCTGCTTCCAGGTATAACAAGAATCAGATTAGAATACAAGAAATGTCAATTGTCCGAGTACAATTTGATATATCATTTTGAATCCATCCAAGAATTGTTTATTGAACCTTAGCTCTTTTCCTAATGTTTTAAACTATTGTGTTTTGATATTATGACAATTCTAACGATTCTGTTATGACATTCTTCCTTCTATTAATTTAAAGTTATTTATCAAAAGTTTATTCTATTTTCCTGCTTTATCATATTTACAATTACCTGTGTTGGGGTTTGCTTTCCTGACTGAACACCTATAAACTCTCATTGTTTGCATTTATGTCACTTTATTTTAACTCTTTTTGACATGTTTACAATATATATGTATTTTCTTTTATATTGGCAATATCTTCTTGTTACAACACTGTTTACTCTTTATGTTCTGTTGGTTTTAATTTTTGTTGTATTCACATTTTTTTAATTTTTATATACATTATCTAGGTTTTGGATTTAATCGGGAACCCCACTATTTCTAGTTCTGACTTTAATGCAGGCTGGACAAATATTTGTGTGTCCTTATCTGAGATGCAAAAGCAACATTAACAGATAGGTTTACTACTGTTATAAAAATGTCTACAAGAACCTTACTTTATTTAAGACTTGTTGCATCAAGGAGGAGTCCACAAAAATTAGAGGACAACAGTTATTATATGATAAATGATTATTATCCTTAATTCTTGTGCACTCCTTCTCCTTGAAGCATGTCCTTAAATAAAGTGCGTATCTTGTGAACTATTTTATAACACTTATACAACAAGAACAAGAAACAATTAATATAAAGATTAAGAAACAATTAATATAATTTCTACTAGTTTTGACAGTTTTTGTCTTATGAGTATTAAGGTAATCTTTTTCAAGCTTAATGTGGTTTCAACAAGACCCACAATGGGACATCTGGGTGATGAAGGACAAGGTTGACCTATCTGGTACCAATCACTCCCTGAAAAATTCTGGGGTTTTCAACCTGCCCAGAGTTTATCTTGAGTCTTAGGACTGTAATCTTAATAACATACACCATCTGGTGGCAAACTTACTAAATTGATAAGATCCTTTAATTAGGAAAAGTGGAGACAAGTTATTTTTTCTGATAGATGCTAAACTCAAAATTATTGTTTGAAAAGATGTTGACAAATCAAGGGATGTGAAATTGTGTTCTTTCGGTATGGATTTAATGTATGGAAATACAATGTTGATGTAATTGAAGAATATTTTCAAATTGTTTATTGTGCTGCCATCTCTGATATAAATACATTATTAAATGAATCTATACCAGAGGCTACATATATAGTAGATTATAGATATATGTATCCTCTGGTGTAGACAGTAATACTACTGTATAGATATGATATATCTATATATCATATCTGTACAGGTTTTTCTAAAATAATTTAGATTTATAGCTGAAGTGTAATGCTAATGTTTCTTACATTTTAAAATTTCCATTTTGACCTTTACCATTATATTTTTTGAATTAACTTGTGTAGAATAATCAAGCAAAGATTTGTCCTTGAAACTTGTTTCTGTACTAGGAAGTGCTCAAATGTAATGAAATAGGTTTGTGAATTTCTTTTGCACCTCATTTCTGCCTATGAACTGTACATCCCACTCCTTTTACTGATTGTCTATAAAATGCCTGTAAATTTTTTAAAAATTGTGAAAACTGCATTGATTTAGGATGAAAATTCACTGAAATATGAATTTTTAAAATTGTGCTTAATTTTGGATTTATCTGTGTAGTTACTAAAATTACATGTTTGAGATTTAATTCATTTTTTCATTTGATGTGAAATTTGTCCTTTGTGTGAATTGTACTTATTGATATTAGGAGAGCAAATTCAATTTTTCAGTGTTGACAATTAAGAAATTTACATTGAAAATACATTTTTGACAGTGAATGTGTGGGCTTTTGCTAGATATATATAATATGAGATGTTCTCTGTTTATTATCTGTTATCTTCTATGTTTGGAAAAGCTTTTATGTATCATATAATAATTTGTATATGTCAATACCTTGCTAGTATTCTGTATTGTTAATTTTACCAACTATCCACTGTTCAAAAGTATTGCTTCTAACTTCATATAATTTAGAGTAATTTGATGCTGATTTTTTTCTGATTTATTTTCATTTCTTGTTACACTGTTACAATACAAAATGGAATTTGTAATAATCTGCTTTTATGCCATCATACAATTAGCCTCTATGTCTGTTAATAAAATTGTTAATATAAATTTGTTTTCTTTATTATTTAATTTTCATAATTGCTATATTATAATAAAAAATAATTTTTATATATGATTTGAATAAGTTAAAAGCTTTAGCTTACAAAAAATATACTTATTAATGTTCAATTAGCAACTTATGTTTGAGCTTATGTACAACTTAATATCGTTTGTAAAACAAAATATATTTTCTGTAGTGTAATCATTATTTTTATCTTCTTTGTAATGTAAAATTTGAATTATTTCTTCCTTTTATTTTAGCTACTGGAAATTGGGAACTTACTTCAACAAAAGGAGCTATTGTTAAAGGAGGATTTGGACACACAAGTGTTTATGACAAGAGAACACAGAGAATATATGTGTATGGTGGTTATCAATCTTTTGGTCCCGAAGGTGCTTTAGTAGATTTTTTGTATGCTTATAATGTTTGGCAGCATGAGTGGTAAGATATTTTTTTAAATTTGGAAGCAAAGTTTCCAAGAACTGTATTATAAATATCATTTCTTTATTAAAAATTTTTTTTTTGTAGTATATTTTATTGATACAAAGCTCTGCATACTAATGCAGAAATTTATATCAGTTTAAAATATCTGCCTGGCAGCAACAGAATCTGCTAGAATGTAAAAATTTACTTTGTTTTCATACAGATCAAAATTAGTTGAAAATATCTTTTGTTAATTACAAAATATAAAAATTTAAAAATACCTGTATATTATAAGTATGTATGTAAATGAAAATTATGAAACAACAGATATTTTGGACATTTTATTAATTTTTTTATTATAATTTTTAGATTAAGATTTTTTTATAAATTTTAAGAAATGATTAGTTATTTTAGACTTAAACTTTTTCTGAATTAGATTTAAGTAATAAATTTAAAAAATTATTTTGAATAGGAAATTGTTAACTCCTAGTCATTCACACCGTTACCTACACAGTGCAGTTATTCATCATGGCTTAATGCTTGTGTTTGGTGGAAATATATATAATGGTACATCTCATAGCAGTGGCGACCAGTGCTTTTCTTCTGATTTTTTAGCATATGATTTAGGTAACCAATCTTATTTTACAATTATTTTAAGATTAATTCTTATATCTATACATTATATATATTAATGTATATACAAATATAAGATGACCTCACATATAGGACGAGGTGTGACTTTAAAGATCAAAATAAAGAAATATTAGATTTATTAATATAATTATAATTTTATTTTATTTAATCACAAGTAAAATATCAAATAAAGATAAATGCACACATTATCCTGCAAAAATTACTAGCATTTTAAAAACTTTAAGGAAAAATCTTGTAAAATCAACAATATAATTTGTTCGTGTAAAACTGGACAATCAGAAACTTTTTTTTTTTTTTTGACAATTCTTAACAGTCGAAACAATTCTTAACAGTCGAATCCACTCTCTGTCTATTACACTTATGAGTTTATTTGAATTATTGATTTTTGAATAATCATCTGTTTTCACGTGGGAATGGATTAAAACTTACGTGGATTGTGCTTCCATGTGATTTTGAAATTTCAATATGGAATTCAATTCAAAAGCTTTGCTTTTCCTATTGCTATTCATCTTTGAATTGGTCTTGTATATTGTCAAAAGTAAACAACCTAGATAAAATACTTATGTTTTTAAATACAAGAGAGTAAGCATTTGGTAAAAAATGCAAATACACAGTCCACAAAAATTATTTGCAATATTCAAAGAATCTTTTGCTTGTGTGTATAGGACAACCTAGGAATTTGAAGCTGTGATAAATTAATAAAAATCTTGTCTTATATGTAAGTAAATATGGTAAATATACAAGTGTAGCAGAAATTTTTTGGCATCTTTTAATTCATACAAAATTTTGAGAGGGCACTTAAAATTCCTATAACCACTAAATTTGTTCTGGTTACAGATGACATTTATGTAATTTGCATTCACTTGAATTGTCTATATTACAATTGTTAGTGATTCCTCAATTTTATGTGATTTTTATCTTTATTTATTTATATATACCCATAAATATTGTATATATAAAAGAACAAGATGCAAACATCACTGATATTAAACATACTCATTAGTTCACATTTAACATATGGTTCATTTGGAAGAAGACTGTCATATATCAAAAATCATTGATTTTTATAAGAAAAATGTTACAAATTTTGTTTTTTTTCTATGTAAAAGTAAAATGGTAATTTTTTGAGTTGTGATGCTTTTCTTCCAAACAAATTATATGTATTATTGAAGTACAGTCTATAGTGCTTTAGCAATATGGAAGACCTGTAACTAGTTGTGCAGGATTTATTATTGAGTTATTACTGTACTATATGATTATTGATCTGGAAAAACTTAATTCAGTAAGGCTTTGAAATGAAGGATATCAGAAAAGTGATGTTGGACTTGTACTAAATTTTGACATTAAATGTATCCTAATGTATAATATGTAAAAAAATTTCCATATTTATAATATTTTATTCTGAAATGAGATTTAAATAAAGTAGGATTCTAATCAATTAGGAATAGTTTTTCAATAAAGTATTTTTAAAATAAACCATTTTAGCAGTTATACTATTTAATAAATAATAATTTAAAATTTAATAGAATTGAATTCAATTTGAAAGTGTATGTAATCCGTAGAATAATGGATTTACTTAAATTATCATTTGTTAACTTGTAAATTATAAAAAACATTACTTTTTCACTCTAAATTAACATTTCATTAACATATTCTGTATATTATGCTATCATAAATGTCTTATGACCAAACTGTAAAATAAATATCAAAGTTTATATGCATATGTGAAACATTTTCCACATGGTTTTGGAAGATGTCTGTCAAATCAGAATTATTTTTGTTTTCCCAGAACTTTGAATGAATAAGAGTGGTTCTATCACTTACCTTGACTTAATTAGTTCAGAAAAATTATAGAATTATCAATAAGTTAATTTATCTGTGCAAAAATTAAACAAAAAATGATGATATATATTTTCTATATCACACTGATTACACTGAAAATAGTATGTGAGGTCTGTCCAAAAATCCTTTACTTATGTCTGACAATCAGCAATATTGTAATGATAATAAAAAGTCTTTGATTTATATATAAAACTATTTATTAACTAAGTAAAATAGGATCTTGTTTATTAGTATTTCAATTTATATTCTTGAAAATTAAGTTAAATATAGAAACTGTATACAGTAGTACCCCGACTTATGCGAACTCTGAGTTACGCGATTTTCATATCTTGTCGATTCATCTTTTGTTTGAGTGCCATGCAGTCCTTGATTACTCACACCCCCCACACTATTGTTCAGCTTACATGTTCGGATGTATCGCGCAGAATCCACACATAGCTACAATTTATTTTGTGTTATTTATTTCTGTGTTTGTTATATATACGGAGACTGGAGAGACTCTACTATATCATCCAAAGGAAGTAGAACTAATTCTTCTGCATCAAACAAGAAAAGAAAAACTTTATCTTTGGAATGTAAAGTTAACATTGGGTATGTTCGTAAAGTCGAACAAGTTAAGCGAGAATGAAGTCATTGTTATTCCTATTTCATTAGACTTTTCAAACGATTCATTACTAACGCTTTTAACTCGTTCGACTTTACGAACGTACCCATTATTAAAGACTTCGATACAAAAATGAAAATTTGTGAATTGGCAAAGAAGTTTGATCTATCGGAATTGTCGGTCAGAACAATTATAAAAGGCAAAGAAAAAATTGTCGAAGCTGTGAAAAATGCTCAATCTTTAAATTCAAGCATCATTCGTAAACATCACAGTATTATCGCTGAGATGGAAACAATGTTAAAATTATGGCGTGATAATCAAGTAAATGTGAAAAATTGTAAAATAATATAGGCCTAATTTGTTATACATATGTATTATCTAAGATTTTATTAGACATTTTTTTCTAAATTATTGTTTTTTTTAGTCTCTGGCCCCAATTAAAAATTATTTGTATGTATTTATATGCGAAATTATGTCCCGACTTATGCGAATTTGACTTACGCGGTTACCGCTCGGTCCCACCTATCGCTTAAGTTTGGGGTATTACTGTATAGTGTATAAGCTTATTTAATTGGAAGGATACATGCAAGAAGAAAGTCTTTGAGAGTTTAGGAACTACAAAATATTAACAAAAGAAAAAATAAAAACAAATTCACATATATTTGCTGATAAGCCCAGTCTTTTTGTTCAAATCCTAGAAATTTATGTTTCAAAACATTCCAGTTCTAATATCAAATTGGTTTTTAGCCAAATTTAAAATTTTGAATCATCTCTAAACTTGTGATGCAGTTCTAATGACATTGGACACTACACTAAACACTAAACAGAAAATTAATTCAAGTAAATGATTTTTTTTATAATTAGAGTCAAAACTGAAATATGGAATTGAATGATAAAGCAGTATTCTACCTCCAGCATAGTACAAAATATAATTTTTACTATGCTGGAAGTAGAGTGCTGGTTTATTCACTTCCACATTTCAGTTTTGACTAATTATAAGAGGTCATCTACTTCTGTTTGTTTGTCTTGAAATTTCTGTTGTACTTCATTCACAAGTAGTGTTATAACTATCCAAGAAGATTTTCTGTTATCACTGGATATATGTATAAAATGCCAAACCCTCATATATATATATATATGAGGGTTTGGCATTTTATGCCAATGTACAGCCAATACAAAATTGTATTCCATTACAATATTTTGATTTTATTTTGCTGTATAAAGTCCAAGCAATGTATAACAAAATATAATGAAGATGTTTAGATTGATTTATTTATAATATAATGAATGANTTGTTTGTATTAATCATATAATTTTGATTATTAATACATTGTTTAGTTTATTACTAGCACATTATGACATTTAATAATGTTTTTGTATTTATAAGCATAGTAATATCTTTGTGATTTTATTGAATAATCCATTATCTTTTACATTGTTGTTGATTAATGCTATTGTACAATGTTTTTAAAAAACAAATTTTTTTTTTTGGTTTATCATGGAAAGGTCAAATCTATATTTCCAACCAAACTTTACAGTATTTCTGGTTGCATTTGTAGAGAGTAAACAATAGTTGTTGCTGTTGCCTCCATTCTTGATCTGTGTTCATGTTTGGTGCAGACTTTTGCCTTCTCGTCATATATGCTATGTTAATCACTATTTTTTCATAATTTTGTCTCTTATCCCATATTTTTAGACCAACAAATTGAAATATACCATTTTCGGTATTAAGTACTGTACGTGGTTTAGGCTGCACTTGTCTTTGTTTTCTAATTGCTACTTTATTTGATCCCAAACATAAATTTCTACTGCTGTCACAATGTTTTAGTCTATCCATGATTTTGTTAATCCAACTCCAATTGAAACCAATCACAAAATGTCTAACAATGTCTGATTTTCTTCTCATCTAAACAAAGTACACAAAAATCTATTTTTCACCAACTATTTTTCTGTCTCCACCAACTATCTCCAACTATCTCCTATCATTATGATGATATTGAAGAAAATTACATATCTGAAAGCAGACTACTTCTGTTTTCTTATTTACCAATTTACTCTATTCTCATGCATGCATTATGAATCCAAGAATGCACTGAACTTTGTGCATTTTTTAAAATTGTTATTATTTCACATTAAGTGCTTTTGAGAGATTAATCCTTCATCATTAGAAGTTTTCTACATATAATGTATAAATATTTTTATATCAGTTCTAAAATTAAGGATGACATTTCTAAAGAAAAATTGAAGCTAGAAGTAATTATTAATAACTGGAAAGCATTATTTTAATATTTTATATNCATCAAACTTATCAAACTCTGGCAAGTGGTAACCTGTCAAGTGTAATTTAAACTAAGATAAACATCAATATGTAAACATTCAAAAAAAAGCTAAGTTTTTAAAAATAGATGAAAACGGTTGTTGTATGAAAGTAGTTAAATGGTTGTTAGATTGAAATTGGAAGATAAAATGTTTAACAGCTTTTAATGGGCATTATTGTATATTGTATATTCATTGTAATTCTTTTTATGTATTTATTAGTGTAAAAATTGTTTTTGGCTTGTTTTGCTTGTACAGAAGAAAACCCAATATTGTAATTTCCAAAATGCATCTAGGTAAAATAAAGTTGTTGTTGGATTGGAGATTATGGCATCTGTGGATGTGATAATTCCTAGCAAATTATGGATTTTGACTGTCTATATATTGATTTTAATTGGAAAGGAGCAATTCATATGACAGAAATTATTAGCAACCTAAATATTGTTTATTTATAGCATATATTTTTTATAATTTATTAATTAAAAAATGATTATTTTTATATTTAGGAAGTTGTAAACAATATCATAGTGCTGATGCTTGTGAAAAATCTGCATTAGGTGTTAATTGTGTCTGGAATTATGAAATGAGTTTATGCCAGTTGTTTTCAGTTATTCCAGATCGTGTCAAAACATACCATACATCATGTTATCGAAGAGGAGGTACAGTACATTTATAAATATTGTTGTCTTTGTTATTGTTTTATATACAGTAATTAAAATGAAATTTATGTATTTGCTTAATACTGTAATGTTATGAGTAGAGATGTAACCAATACCAATCTGACACTGACATATTGACTTATCAGAATTGGTTTGTTTAAAAACTGGTATTCCAGTTTTTTTTCAATAGGCATCTTTGATAACATTTTGCCAGGCATTTGAACATGGGATGGATGTACTGTGCTGTAAAACTAATCCACAGTAGATAGAATGTCCTTTCTGTGTTTGATTTGCCATTGATTGTCATATGACATACAGTTGTTGCTTTTGGCAATCATTAGCTTGGCAGTGCTTTGCAGGAGATTTTGCTGATGAATGCACTTAGATACTCAGGTTTTATATAGGTGACTATAGATAAATAAGTAAAACTAATGATATACTTTGTTTCATATGATACAGATTATGTCATTGGTTTGCTTATGTAGGGTCTTATAATGTTTCTGATGATTTGGTGGTGGTTATCAGACATACCAATCTTTAAGGGAAGATTAGATAATGACCTACCAATTACTGGTGACACATCATTTGCTGCTACCAACCAACCAATTGATAAGCATTTTCAAATAAACTTAGCTGTTGGTCACTTGTTAGATGCGCACTTCCTATACAGTCAGAAATACAACAATGTGTAGGTTAAATCTTAATGGCTTACTGCAGACTTTGTATACAGTAAGCTGAAAGGAGCCTATAAATTGATTTGTAAACTTTTATTTCTTTATATTTGAATTTAAACAGTTAGTGAATGAAGTGAATATTCTCTAACTTAATGAGCTTTCATACTTTCATATATTACAACACTTTTAAAATGTAGATAGAAGTGTACATAGAACTGGATCAGTTAGAAAATTATTGGTATTGGTACAATCTTTACAAAACTACTGGTATAAATTAATATAAATAACCTCAACTAGATGTAAATACCAATAGACCAGCAAAAGTAAAAGAAATAAACTGAAAATAGACATTTTTTTTTTCATTTGAAATGGTCATCCTCAGGTATGAAGAATTCAGTTATAAACTAATTAATTCATGAATATCTGCATTCTTTGAACCTAAGGATGACCATTTTAAAGGGAAGAAAATGTTTATTTTCAGTTTATTTCTTTTATTTTTGCTGGCTTATTGGTATTTATGTCTAGCTGAGGTTATTTATATTGGTATTGGCAGAATTTAGTACTGTTATCATGTCTAATTATGAGTATTTATATTTTTAATATTAGTAAATGTTACATATCTCTGTGGACGGCAAACGTTATGTCCAAGTTGTATTGAGAATACTTACAATTGTGTTTGGTGTGGAACATCATGCTATCATGGAAAATGCAATACAGGAATGAAGGTATTTTTAACTGTTAATTATCAGTAACTGTTAAAATTATTAATCATTACCATGCAATATTATTGATTTTAGTTACTTAAAATTATTAAATAAGATCTGCATTATTTTTAATGTAGTCAAAGCTGGTTGTAATAAAGAGCAAAAACATTTATCTAAGATTTTTTTACCATTGGTTTTGTTAATTAGTTGTTTTTAGTTTTTGTGTTTGTTCAGTCATGATAATTAAGATAACAGCTCATAACTGGATTGAATTACTTATGGCCAGAGCAGGTTGGAGTCCTGCTGAGGCCTAATTCTTTTCAAGAAATTTCTAAATTCAAAATTAATTTATTACATTATTAAAATTAAAACAAACTGGAAGCATATCTGCTTACCTATAGTCAAAAATAACTAAAAATAAAGCAGATTGTTTGGTATTACATAATAATAAAGATTATTAAAATTAGAGATTTGTTCAGTGGATTATTAAACATTTGAATAAACTGTAAATAAAGGAAATATAAAATTTTACATTGTTAGCATTATTTCTTTAAAAATTAAAACATGTTTATTATTTGTAAATAGAGTATTATACTATATGTAACAAAGATTATTTAAAAATTTCCTGCAAAGCACACCAGCTTAGCAGTGGTGGTGCATTGCAGTAGAGTTTTGAAGACAAATGAGCTTAGATACTCTGGTTTCATCTAGGTGACTAGCAGATAAATAAATAAGCTAATGATATAGTTGGTTTTATATGATACAGATTATGGCATTTGGTTTGCTTACTTAGGGTCTTCCAGAAATGCACATTTGTTCAATCATTGAGACCAGGCATCATTCAAAAACACCTATAATGTTTCTGGTGATTTGCTGGTTTCTATCATACACACCAATCTTTAAGGGTAGATTAGAGAATGACCTACCAACTACTGGTGACACATTGTATGCTGCTACAAATCAACCAATTGATAAGCATTTCCAAATAGACTCCTGGCTGTTGATCACTTGGTAGATGCACACTCTATATAATGAGAAATACAACAATGTGTGTTTCTGATTATATAGTAAAATATACATCTTCTAAATGGTTAATGAATTTTTTTTAGTTAACAACTTATGAAGAATATCCAAATGAATGGTTTTCTATATATTCATCTTGCCAAAAGACATCAGAAATAGCATTAGAACCATTTATTCAAAATTTATCACATGTTTTGACATGTAAGCCTTCAGACAAATGGAGACAAAGAAATATTTTGACTGATATTTGTTACAGAAGTAGCATTTAAATGACTTTTTTCAAATCTTACATTTCCATCAAAGATTCGACTTATAAATGTTTCTACAGTATATATGATGCATATTTCTAATGCCTTTAATGATTATAGCTTGTTGCCAGCCCACATCAACAGAGTCAGAAAGAGCATAGGCTGCAAGGGTCATAACTAGGTTGAATTTTTGAATGTCATACTTATGCTTTTTCAGTTATGCTTCTAAAAATCTTGAAGTGGCCACTCTGTACTGAAGATCATGTGCAATTTCTCATCTTTAAGAGGAATAGTTATACTTCAGAACATTGCTAGAGTTGGGGGATCCTTATCATTACATAAAAGCTAGTAGATTATTGGATTCCTTTTGTATAGGATTTATTGTTCAGTGACTTTACTAATTTCCTTATATATGTGATGGAGAGGTCTTGCATATCCAACAAATGTATAGTCTGACCTTAAGGAATTGTCCTTGATTTTGTTGGGTTCCAATTGAACTTATCTATAATATTTTTTTTTTTTTTTTTGTGAAATTTACATTATAGGCTTTTAGAAATTTGACTTAATATATACATTAAGTATGAACTTATGCTTAATATCACAGATGCTTGCAATTTTTTAGGAACCATAATCAAGGTTAAATATAAGTAAAATAAGCTAAAAATTGTGCTGAATAGAAGGATGGCAACAACTGCAATATAGATAATCTAAGTGAATGCTTGTCATTTGCAATATCATTTGTGGTTATTTGATAAATGAGTTACAGAAATGTTAAGTGCCTTCTTGTAATTCTTTTTTGAATTAAAAGAATTGCTGAAAAACAATCATGAACTTGTATTAACCTAAATTAATTTTAAAAGCTGATAATTTGTATATAAATGTCAAGGCAAAGTAATTTATTACTTTTGAGAAAATATTTTATGATGCAATTTTTGTGAAACTTTTTTATTTTGCGTTAAGATGTGCCAGAGAATAATTTTATGGTGGAAAATACTAAAACAGTTTGATTGTGAAAATTTAAGTTATAATCTACACTTTCTAATCATAATATTTTAGTTAATTTTTTCTGTGTTTTAAAACTGCTCAAGAAAATGATCTTTTGAGATTCAGTTGTATATTTGTATAAGAATCATTGTGTATATTCTTGTAAATTATTACTTTAACTGTATTAATTAAATATTAAATTTATGTTTCATTTATTTCATCTAGAAAATAAGTGCTGTTGAGCAGTGTGAAGAAGCTCAAAGTAGTAACTGTGATAAATTACATAATTGCCACGCTTGCCATACAGAATATCATTGTGGTTGGCAAAAAGATGAGAAATGCTATACTTTCGTTCGAGAAACAGGTAACATTTTCACTCAAATAAAACTTAAATCAATAAATTATTAAAGTATTGTATCAAGATTTCAAGTAATATGTATCTGTATTTTATACATGATTTTTTAAAAGTAATGTGCCATAGGAGATAATGTAGAGAAGCGTACAGACAAAACATCAAGCATAAGTGTATAATGTATTGGTTATGTGATGCATCATTTCAGTTTTGCAATATCGTCACACTGAAATTGCACGATACATTTTATTTCATCTATTTAATACACAAAGTATTACCATTTTTGTATTATTGTCGTATTTAAGTTTATTTACAGTAAATAAAACTGAAAATAGTAATAAAAAATGGATAGTGTGTCATGTTCTTGCTATCATCTTGATATCAAGTATTAAAAAACGAGTTCATTCCTTACAACATACTGGTTGCAATGCAGCTGGGTTTACAATAGTTGAAAGTGATTCAACCATTACATATATTTTGTACAATTAATTTTTGCTTACTAGTATTGTAGACTGAAAATGATGCATCTTTTAATTAATATGATATACACTTATCCCTTATACTTTGTCTACAAGCTTCTTTGCACAATCTCTTGTGGCACATTTGAGAAACCTGTATGAAATTATATGAAAAATCATTATGATGCTTGTTACATTAATATGTTATAATTGCTTTAATTTGGAAATGAAATATTTATTTGATTTTAATTTTATTCAAATGGTTTACAAAATTTTTGATAATTTCAAAAAATAATATGTCATTTTGGAAATTATAAAATCAAAGTTGACAATATTCATTACTAGAATGAATATAAATTGTTTATTTTTATTTAATTTAAACAAGTAATTAACTAAAATAAATGAAAAATAGCATGAAATAATAAGCATATAAAATGCCTTAATATGTGCTGATCATTTTATCCTATTTTTCATTATGCTGCACTGTAATTATTATGCCAATTATACTAATTGTTAGTATTTTTTCTTATAAAATACTCTGATCAAGAGATATAACATGTATATATTAAATCTTTCCACAATATGAAGAAATAATGTTAGTGATTTATGTATCAAATATATTAAAATTGTAATAAAATGGCATTATTTATTATGAAAGAATTTATATGTAAAAGTCACATAGTGTACATGGTAAAGTGACCTGCTTTTGAGTTTCATTATAGATCACATAACCTTATGAAATTTTTACAATGTTTGCAACTGTTCAAAAAATTACAATAAATCAATATAAAGCTATTTAATTATACAAATTTCCACGAATTGAAAGTGCACATTAACAACCAGGGACAGAGTTGGAGTCAGGAGTCAAGGAATCAAATCTTTTTATGGAAGTCAGGAGTAAGAATTGATTTTAAAAAACACAACTCTCACTCCTAAAACTCTGAGTTGTGTATTTTTCCATCAACTTCCCATCTTTGTTAACAACTTGGATTATACTGTATTTTTGCAAAATGACTGACATGTCGGAAACCCTGGGGTTACTTGCATGTGTGTTAAACTGCAACTAAAAAATAAAATTAATCAGATGTAACAAAATTAATTGTTAATTAAATGTTAAAGAAAACATTTTTCCAATTAGAATAAAATAACAACATTGTAATTAATTTAATTTATTTTAATTTTTTAAATTTATTAACAGAGGTTTAAGCAAAGCTGATTGATTTTGGATCAAATCAAAAAATAGTGTCCTTTTAAGTCAACTTTGTTTAAAATTTTGACTGAATTTTGATACTTTTCTAAAAGCCATGTCCTTTTTCCTTTTAGAAGAAAAACATTAAAATGTATGGAAAAGTAAAATTTAAATCTTTTTTCTTTTTAGTTTTTATATATTTTTTTTAATCATAAAAATGACGCCCTCAAATTTGGTATCCAGGACCCCCTTTATTTTTCCACTCCCTTGACATTTAATCACCAAAATTAATAGTATCAATTCTTCCTAATAAAAAAATCTCTCTGCAAAATTTCAGAAATTTTTGAAAAAAGTACAGTAGTTATTAAGTACAGTAGTTCAAAGAGGATGAATAAAATTGTGTTCCTCACACACACTCTCACACTCACATTAACATCCATACATACATACAAAAAACCCAAATTTTTTTGCATTTCTTCACATTGCAAGGTGTCTTAAGGTCTAAAAAATGTAAAAATTTTGGAGGAGTCATTTTTTTTACCAATTTCCATACTTTTCCCTCTGTTATATAAGACCCTGCCACACGTTGTGGCTCAAAATGTATCTATTATAAATGTATAACACTTCCCCCATGGGGGGGAAATTTTTCGAAAAATTTCTTCTTAATGTACATTCTCTTGATGTACCCTATTAAAACGCAATCAAAAACGCAAAAACCCACATCTAAAATAATATAATAGAAGCCAAGTTCTTCACGGTAAGCCTTAATTCTGTCTCTCTCCCCCACGGGGGAATATCGAAAAATTCCTTCTTAGTGTACATTCTGTTGACGTACCCTATTAAAACGCAATCAAAACCGCAAAAACCTGCATTTAAAATAGTATAAATAGAAGCAGAGTTCTTTACCGTAAGCCTTAAACCTAACCATCTCCCTTCAGTGGGGTTGAATTTTGACACGTATATTACAGTATATAAAAACACGTGCGTATTCAAATGCAGCGTTGTGTCAAAATTTCAAAGGAATCGGTAGGAACAAACGAACATTACATTTTTATTTATATAGATAGATAGAAGA